AAATCCCCCTCCACCGCCTCCTCCCTCCTCGGCGGCAAGGCTGTGGCATCTCCTTCCTCTCTCCCCAACTCCCTCCTCGTCGGATCTGATGCGGCCATAGGTGCTATCACTGGGCATGGGGATGCCGGCCTCGGGCGAAGCGCCACGGCCCGGCTCGTGGACGCTCGGTCTCGAGTCTTGGCGTCTTGCCGCTGGGGGCGCCAAACCTTGGCGATGGCGGCCTGGCCGCTGGGACGCTGCTAGGGGGCAAGTGTGCTGCCCCCACGAGGACGCGTCGTTCCGTGCTAGAAGCGTCGCCTCTCCCGCCGGGACGCCGCCGCCTCGCTTTAGCGCTTTCTCGCACCTCCTCCAAGAGCCTCGTCCCACACTGCCTTGCTTGTCTTTGTCGTCTTTTCCTCTCGCGCCGCTGGCGTCGCCGCCGCCTCCTCGCCTCACCCACAGCTCCCTCTCCCCATCCCACGCCATGGCCATCAGTCGCCCAAATCATACCGACTGCCGTTAATTTTGTGCTCGACTTTTTATATATATGGTTGGTGGCATTTATTTGGTACATGAATTTCATCAATTTGGTATTTGATTTTGTTTTGAACTCGATCTGTAATCTGGATTGGTTTGGTTTGTTGCTCGGTCAGGAATCTAGATTTGGTTTAGAGCTCTTTTTCGACTCAATTAGGATATGTGGCCGATTTCTTCTTTCCTTCTTTTTACCCCATGCTACTATTATCGTGCGCTCCGTACGCCATAAATAGATCAGACCAAAAAATCCAGACAAAAAAGGCTGAAATTTTAGCTTTTTATTATTAGGTAGGTAAATTTTGTCTCTTTATTATTATTAGGTATGTATAGATTTTTTTCTACTCCTACGCGGTCGGATTGTTTCAATCTACTCTACCCTATAATACACCCTATAATATACCAGTTAGAATAAATCTACAGCTACACAATAAATGTCTGCTCCACGGTCATGACCTATGCTCCACGGTCATGACAGTTTTTCATGAAATACAGGATTACTGACGATATTGATGCTAAGGAAGTGGCTTTCGTCCAGCATGTATATATCTAATGTTCACAGGCTCTGAGATGCATTTAGTTTAGTTTTTAGAAGTGATTTGAGATTTTTGTCATTTTGCTTTTAGCTATTGGGAAACTGTCATTTTTGCTTTTTAGAAGTGTTCAGGCTGTTTACTTAACAGGTACTAATCCAAAATTTGATTTGTGCATAATGTTTGACTGATGCTTCTACAGTAATCTTTTACAACGTTCCAGTGAGATAAGGTTTATGATAACATTGGAATGCTAGCTTTGCTATTGGGATACTATTATCAGAAGCATATTGGAATTGGAATTTGTAAATGAATCATTTTTTTAGGAACATGTAAGTGTGGTTGCATCTAGGTTTTGACACTCATGAGCGATGTGTTCTGCGGGAGATAGGAGCGCTCATGTGGTAGGGTTATTGTAGCTTTGGGCGATCGTGTAGTAGCCTCATGTGTAGGGTTATTGTAGCTCTCTGGGAATTTATTACAATTGTGTTCTCAATGTCCCAAATGCTCATTTTAGACTGGTAGATATAACTTACAATCGTTAATGCTTGTTTTTTTCATAACACCTTCTATTTGTTTGGTGTCTCCATTTAGTTTTCCTCTGTAAACATTGTGTTTTCATTTTATTTGCAACCATATCTTGTTCATGTCAATACTTTTTTCTGAAGAAAGTATTTATGCTTGGATATTTTCTTGCGCAGTTAACCATAGATTCCATACTGCAAGTACAAGCTCTGCGTCATACCCCTTGAAACAGGAAAGAAACAATCATCTGTATTTCTTGTTAACAACAAGAGAAAGGCCTATTTTGCAAAGACAATGGATGACAGGTCCATCATAAAGCAGATCAAGAAAACGGAGTTAGTTATCATTTATTCAATTTGCCCCTGATTACTTTAAGCACGTTTACCATTCTCTGGACACTGGAAGCCAAACTTGCCCTGCTAAGATATTGGGAATCTATCAGGTAGTTATATCGATCTTGTGTTTGATTTCAATTTGTTTTTCTAGCTTTTTTTTCATCTGGACTCACTTGCCTGTTCAGGATAAGCAAATTAGGCAAGTCACAGAGATAAAGATCGACTTGACGGTGATGGAAAGTCTTCTCTTTGGCCACAATATTTCACGAGTCCAATGACCTCAAAGGCACTGTTTTTTCACGATGCGTCACTGACTCAAAATGATAATGATATTGTTTACCTCGACCAAAATTATGTTGAGTACATGCTCAAAGATATTGTGTAAAAGTTGAACTATGGAAAAAAAACATTGGTTGTTTTCATGTGCGTCTTCAAGATAAATCCGTTGCGTTAGCACGGGCATTATACTAGTAGAAATGTGTCGTTGTCGCTTTTCGTGGAATTAAACGTTTTAAATTTGGACCAAATATATTGGAGATAAACATGTTACTAATATTTTCTACAAATCTGCGGCATGAATACCATAACGATAATTATTTTGAGACAGAAGCAGTATTTGGTTTGGTGAATGTACAAATACAGAATGATTTGATTCAAAATACAAACCTGACGGCGGTATTTGTATTGTGTCATGCTCCCTCCGTCCCAAGATAGGTATCGTTTTGAGTTTGGTACAGGTCGAACTTTCTTAAGTTTGACAAGATTTATAAAAAATAATAGTAATATTTTTATCTCAGAATAAAATTATTATAAAATATTCAATAATAATTCTAATGATACTCATTATGCATTATAAATATTAACGATTTTGTGTGTATATTTATTCAAATGGTAATACTGGGGTTAGGGCATTCGTCCGCCCGGACGCTTGCTTGTTGAGCCTACGGACCGGCCCAAACAACCTGACCAGCAAATGTCACACATAGCCTTGTCTCCACCGCGCACTGCTCCTCTCTCACAGCCTCACAGTCATAGGCTCCCAGCCTACTGCGTCCAGACGCGCACTCGAGGCCTCCCGTGTGGTCCTAACTCCGGCAACGATGCTTGCCGCAGTGCGTCCGCGTCCACCCACCTTCTCCTACTCGTCCCGCTTCCTTCTCCTCCTCGCACCGCGCCATCCGCCTACTGCGGGCGCTCTACCATGAGTCGGCGAGCCTCCACGACGAATGCTCCAACAAATAGGCGAGGGGAGGAGCTTCGACATCGCCTCGCCGATGATCGAGTTGCCCGCACCGCCGTCGCACAAAGCGAGCTCCGCGCCGCTGCCGACCTTCGCGCTGGCCTTGAGCTCCACAATGACCAGCCCCCATTCGTCCAAGCAGCAAGGTGACATTGCGCTGAAAGCGCATGTTACAAGTGTATGTTTCGAGTGTTTCAGAAGTTTTAAAGGTACGTTGCAATTGTGTTTGTATCGATGTTATAAAAGTAGATAGGGATGTTCACATGTTGCAATGGTTATACATGTATGTTTCAAGTGTATGTTCTAAATGTTTTATCTATTTCAGACGTATGTTGCAAGTGTTTTATTTGGAAGTTGCAAAACTAGATCTAGATGTTGCATATATGCAAGTGTTTTCATACATATGTTGCAAGTGTTTCATCTTGATGTTTTCATATGTTTGCAATGGATACACACATGTTTTCAAGTTTTTTTTCGGTTGTTTTGCAAGTGTTTCAGACGTATGTTTATAAGTGTTTCAGCTGTTTCAGATATATGTTGCAAGTGTTTCATCTAGATATTACAAAACTAGATCGGATATTACACATGTTGCAATAGGACCCACCTGCTGCAACCGTCTGCTGCAACTGCTAGGGCGCCACCAAGCGGGCGTAGACAATCCCACGCGTGCAACTTGACGACATGAGCGAAATCTAGGCGGGCGGGCCCTACGTGGGCGTGCGAAACATAGACGCGACGGAGTGTAGGCGGGGGCGTCCATCCGAACGTCCGGACGCTAGACTACTGCTAGTCAAAGTTATAAGTGGTTGTCAGGAAGTGAGAATAACACTTATCTTGGGACCCAAGAAGTATGAGTCTAATCTATCTAGTATCCATCAGATCCTAAAAATCGGCGGACGACTCTAAGGGATGGGCCTCGTCCATCCGTCGATCCAAGCGCGCTATTGAAGTTCACAATTTTGAAGGTGGAGAAGTGATAATAATAATTACCTCGTCCAAGTGACAGCAAGTAATGAAAGCCAATAGACTAGTAAGAAATATGCCTTAATAGAGGAGTGTCTCTACATTCTCTATAAGTAATACTATAACACTTTCGTAATATAAACTTCCTAAGTAAAAAATTGTAGCTTATTTTAGCCTTTCAAAATATATACATACTCCCTCTCTTCGAAATTATAAGTCTTTCATTTAACTTGATGTAGTTGTGTTTGGTTTGATAAACTTAGTATCAAAAACTTACGGATGTGATTATGGAAATTGAAAAACGCGGGTGCTTGAGGTCTTCTTCGAGTCTATCTTAACTCAGGCGTGTCTGGTGCCGAGTGGTCAGCAGATGCGCGTGTTCCGAGTCGGACTGGGCGGTTCTGCCCCAAGTATATCAGTATGAGATTTTCAAGAAAATCTAAAGGACCACCAGACAGCCATGCTAGTCAATACAAGAGAGAGGCACACATGTATAAAGAGAGTTGCTTAATTAGTTAGCATTGGTCCGTAATCCAATTATGTCCTATTATTACTGTTATGTACATTGTCTCCCCATACCCGCGGCTAATCAACACGTCCACTCCAGTATATATGCACAACTAGACATGTTTAACCATGGCTCTATTTATGGACCATATATCTCTACCCGCAATGTATATACGTCATGCTAATGTTCTAGATGCGTTGGTAAGAAATGCAAGCCAAAGTATAGTGGCAAGAGCTACATGAGCTGCAACATCTTCAGGCGCTGCTCGTGCTTTGGGTCCATCTTGGGTGGCATCGAGTAACCCCCTTTAAGATCCTCCACCACGTACACCTGCTCACCGATAATGTTTTGAGTTTTGACTGGTTATTGAACAAATGAACAAATCAACAAAATTTGAATGGATGAAGTGCTGAGAGTAGATTAGAGGTTCTTGCCTTTGTCAGCTCTTTTTTCTTGAGTATGTGATAGTGGCGCTGCATAATCTTCTGGAAGGCCATAGTTGCTGCAATGAAACCGTAAAAGATTCCAAGGAGAGCGAAAACTAGGACAACGACCATGATAACGACACAAACGCAATCATCATCATCCCCTGAGCGTGAGGTCTCGCAGTCCAGGCATCCGTAGGAGGGCTCGGGCAGGCATGCTGGATCATCATCACGGTAATCGCAAGAAAAACAGTGTAACAGCAGCCCAAAAAGTCCAACCAGTGCAAAGAACACCACCACACCTGAAACAAGATTGGTACAGAACATGAGATATCATTAGCTACCTTTTCACCTTTGCTTGAACAGATATGTCAAAAAAAAAGAGATTTGATTGTATTGTGGCTGCAATGGTACCATCAATATCTAGGAAGAAGAAGATAGCACTTGCAATCGTGATACATGACATGTTCAATTTGAAGAACTGTACAACACTAATGAACAAGAAAACAGCTTCAGAGACAAGAGTTCACGGTTAAAATTGAGACCGAGTTTACTTATACAAATCAAAGCACACCAACAGTATGCATGGTACTACTGTTTAGCATCCAGTCACTCAGTAAGCACTGCATCATCAGAACACATCAATCTTCATAAGAATTGCAAGCAGTTAATGTAGAAAATACGTACCAACACAATAGTAGAAGGGTAGAGGATGCTTGGACAGCATCCAATCAGTAAACCTGTTTCTGAAATTTTCCATCTTTGTCCGACAGAAATGCCACGCCAGCAATAGCAACAATGACCTGAAAAGGCAAAGAAAACCAAATGAGATATGCATCACAAGTATCTTGCACAGTAAGACTTCAACAATGCCTAATGTAACACTGCATGATGAATACACAACATTACATAATAATACCTTTTGCTGAAACACTACACTAAATGCTCTAATTTAGTAAGTACTAGTACCAAATTATTTTGAACAATAACAGAAGACAACAGAAAGTAATTAGAGGAAAGGTGATCTCACGGCTTGTATTGCAAGGAAGATGAGGAAGACGTCTCTAGAAACAAACAACCAGAACTTCATTCTAAGACACATGTCATCCTCCAGAAGCTCAACCAGGAGATGGAACTGTGCTTTGCAAGTAGTACAGTGTGAAAAAGCAGTCCCTTCCTGCAGAGAAATGTTAAGACAGGAATGATCTAGTGCTGGCTTCTGATTTCGGATTTAATTTAACAATGGATTAGCGACTCCCAATCACGCAATTCTATCATGCGTTATCAAACTTTGCTAGTTATTCTTGCGGCTGTGTTCAACCTGCCGCAATTTAAAGAAGCCTTTGGTGAGCACTTCTGTTTTTATTTTTGTTTAATTCTTTAGAATCCAACAAGTTGCAAAATCTACGAACTAGTAAGTGAATTTAAAGGTATCAAACTTAAATATATGGAAACTGTGTCACTAGATTTGTCATCAGATGTACTCGGTAATACTGCAAATTTGTTTTGTCTTAGGCTACGTGTCAATTGCAAGATAAAAAAAGGTGAAAAATTGCATCAAAATTACAACTGGAAAAGTAAGAAGGGAGTATATAGTTGTTGAGGTGCTATATGTCCTTTTTTATAAAACTTGAAGGAAAATTTTGAAATTTGGAGACTAAATGTAATACCTTGACAGCTCTCCACTGGTCTAGGCAGGAACGGTGTACAAACTGTTGCGACCCCTTGCACCTACAGGGAGATATGAGTTCATGACCTGCACCAAAAAGTCCTAAACCAAGAGAAGCATCAATTAGAAACAGCTCAGCAGCAGGATCGCTGTGTAATAAGCTAATTCAGCTACAGTTACAACACTTGGTAAACCTAATACAGCTCTGAAAAGCATGATGGATCCCCACAAGAATTAGATGCATGATTACTTCGTGCCCTAGTTGCATTATATATCTTCAGGAAAGGATTAGCCAGGAGTTTAGGTAATAGGATGGTGGAGGGATGAGATTTATAGCTCGATTTTAAAACTTTGGAATCCACTTGATGATTTGAGAAGAATTAACCAAAAATAATTTCGGGCGCAAAAAGTAGCGGAAGTGAGGATATAATCATTCAGTCTTGAAACCAAAGCCAATACTGAACCTTTTGCAAATATCTTATCTGGCCATCTGGGTTTTATGAAACGCTGCTGCACTCAAACTAGTTTTCCACTAAGTTACGTGAAAATCAGAGCAAGTTAGAATTGTAATTCACTAGTTATTCTGAATGTTTGCCAAATCTGGAAAGAAAAACAAAGGTTATTTGGGCCTTCTCTTTAATTTGGTTAGTCCTTCTGTGCTTCACACTCCTCACTATGTGATAGTTCACAGATAAGCATTCATGTTCCTGTTAATGACTCCCACAGGTGAAGATCTACCTATCCCTAGAAGTTGAAATCATAAACATGATCCCAGATATTCAATTAGTATCAAGGACTCTAATGCATTATTGGAAATTAATTAATATATCTAAGCAGTATATCCCTGTGGAGAGTGATGAGCGATGGCCAACGCGAATTAATTAATAATCCTAACATGTAATAAGTATATCATCCATGCTCTCATACTAGTAAATGGATCCTCTACTTTCTACTGATTTTTCTTGCGAGATTTACTGGATCCTCTAAACCAATTACCACATTAATTCCCGATTGCAGCCTTCCCGCACAAACTCGCTAGGCCTAGCCCTAGGCTAAGAAACGGTACTGTAATTAGGGGGAGCCTTAGCTCGGCTCCATGGAGATGTGTATCTAGTTGCGTAACTAGGGCGAGGAAGATTACCGCGGTGGTTGTCGGTCTAGAGGCATATGCGGCAGCACGGCGCGTACTCGGCCTCGATGTCCCTATGCATCGTCTCCTCCGGGCTCCGGTGGCGGATCCGAGCGCTAACTCCGGTGGCGATCGGTCGAATCGCAGTTAACTGGGAATTTGCACCTAAGTGTGCTCCTTGTCCTATGCTTGGGATCTTGAATTTTGACATAAGCTTATAAGAAAAGCAATTTGTGACAGAAGAATGTAGGCACATACCAAATACTAGGTGTTACCTTAACAGACCTCCAGTGGTCAAGGCAGGAGCGATGCACGAACTGCTGTGTCCCCTTGCACATACATGGAGATATTAGCTCATCACCTACACCAAAGCCAAGAGAAGCAATATCTATCACCAACAGAGCCACAGGATAACCTCGAAGACTAATAATTCGCTGCTACATTAACAACCAAGAGGCCAAGATCCTCTAACGCTTTGGCGATTATCAGAGTTGCAAAGTAACTATGTGGCCCTAGCAAACGATCCAAACATACAATCCAACGGCGACAGCAGCATCCATGATCCAATGACACGGCAATCGTAGAACCCCTGCACCAATGTTGCACGGGCCGACGATCCTTTGCTTTGCGCACAAACTTACTAAAAAGAAAAGGTAAGGAACACAGGCAGTCAATTGGGGGGCGGGGGCTCACCAGGCTCAGAGTCGGACTCGAGGCAGATGCGGCAGCAGGCGGCGGACGCGGCGTCGATCTCCTCGTCGGTTATCTCCGGTGAACCAACGGTCGCAGGCGAAGGCTCAGCCGGCGACGGTGGGTGCGCGAGAAGGGGGGCGGTCACGGCGTGGGGGAGATCGCCGTCGGCGTCGCGATGAACGCGCTGCGGCTCGAGCATGGCTGGCTGAACCCACAAAATCCCAATCTCGAGGGGAAATTGGGGGGCCTTGGGCTCTTGGAGTTGACTGAGAGAGAGGGGATTTGGAGAATTCGGCGTGAGACTCGGCGAAGGCCGAAAGCGTCGGCGATATCTCTGTTCTTTTCTTTTCTTCTGGATCTCTGAGGGCCTGTTTGAAAGGGGCAGCGCCCTCCAGCTGCAACTTGCGCTGTTTGCGGCGCGCTGCAAAATACCCTCTCTCAAACGAAACCCAGGGCCGTTTTTTCTAGGCCAGGCCAGCTGAAGCGCTCAAGGGCACGTTGGAGTCACCGTGTGGAGGTGTTGCCGAGTTTTCACCGGTTCTCCATCCGCACAACGCTCGCAGCTGATGCCGCCGCCGCCGCCGCGGGAGGCAGGAGGCGAGGCAGCGCCAGCAACCAAGACCTAGGCGAACGCGCGCGCGAGGTGCCGCCGTTGGCGCTCTTGTTGCCACCGCCGAGCCAGGAGGAGTAAGAAGAGGCGATAGGGCCGCCATCCGACGTGCCGCGGGGCCACTTCGCGGTGTACGTGCGCGAGCGGCGGCGCCGGTTTGTGGTGCCCAACGCGCTGCTGGACTGCCCCGAGTTCCGGTCCCTGCTGCGGCGCGCCGAGGAGGAGTTCGGGTTCGCGGGCGCCGGCGCCGGCGGCATCCTCGTCCTCCCCTGCGTGGAGGTCGCATTCTGTTCCCTCACCAGGATCCCTCCGCTCTGCAATTTCTCCGTGGCCGCAGGACCCACCGCTCGCGGCGTAGGTCGAGGTCTCCCTCTCCCTCAACATCTTCTTCCTCCTGCCCGCGACCATCTTCTTCTTGGACGCCAGGGCCGGCGGAGATAGAGGGCCACTCGAGCTTGGTCGCATCTGAGGCGCCATGGGCTTGTTCGTCGTCTGCCGTTGCCGCCGAACTTGCCTCTGCCGTTGCCGACTCAAGCTCATCGCGGTGGTGCTGCCCCTACTCGTGTTCCTTGTCGGCGCTTAGCAAGTGCTTGATAGAATGCCGAAAAGAGAAACAGGAGGGTAACTGCGGCGCGCCGAGGAGGAGTTCGGTTCGCGGGCGCTGGCGGCATCTCGCGCGTGGCATTCCCTGTTCCTCACCATCGTATCAGTCCAAATGCAAGGTCATCCTAGTACACCAAATCAAATACAATCCCAGCCTGACCTGGCTCACTAGAAACATGGCAATCAAACAAGAGATGTGTTGCACCTTGGGAGCCAGGCTTTGGCTGGCCACAGCCAGGCCTGCCGGCCGAGCCACCTTGCGCCCTATATCAAATAGGCCCTGAAATTTCGAGTTTTTCTTTTACTTCCACGTCACCACTGCAACATTTTTAACCTCTTTTGTTAGAGTAACTCTAGGTCTTGTTTAGATTACCTTCAAATTCTAAGTTTTTTCACTCTTTCTCCATCACATCAATTTTTGGACGCATGCATGGAGCATTAAATGTAGGTAAAAAAAAACTAATTACACAGTTTGGTTGTAAATCACGAGATGGATCTTTTGAGCCTAATTAGTCCATGATTGGACAAAGTTTGTCAAATACAAACGAAACGTGCTACAGTGTCCAGGTTGTAAAAATTTGCAATCTAAACAAGGTCCTAGCCTCTTATATCTTTCCGTATTAACAACAGCAATAGTATTCGCAAAAAGAGCACATTATTTGGTTGTGATCTCAGTGATAAGCTTTGGTGGTCTTGATTTGTTGTGAGAGAGGAAAACAACATTGGCCCTAGTTGATAATTTCGAAGTGAAACCAAATGTCACCACTACAACATTTTAACAGTTGAAAAAAGATCAACAACAAAAGAGATTTTCGAGAAAAAAAAGTACTTCAACACCTTTTTCAATTAGGGCTTCTCCAACGCAAGGAGAACAAATAGTTTCGGATGCCACCTGGAGAGGAAACCATGGTTTACAGGATGGCAGCGGTACTTGTGCAGCCTACTAATGTAGTCCGTGTAAGGCCCAGTTTAGATCCGAAATTTTTTGCAAAATGCAACCGTAGCGTTTTTCGTTGTTATTTGGCAATTAGTGTCCAATCATAGTCTAATTAGGCTTAAAAGATTTGTCTCGTGGATTTTGTCTAAACTGTGTAATTAGTTTTATTTTTTATTTATATTTAATGCTTCATGCATGCATCCAAAGATTCGATGTGACGAAGAATATTAAAAAATTTGGCAAAATGAAGTGGAACTAAACAATGCTTAAGTAAAAGCAGAGATAGAAGAGGAGAAAAAGAACATGATGAGACCCAACAATAAAAAGATGGTTGTGCAGTTGTGCCTTGCGTTGAGAGTTTGGATACCTAACCTTGCGGGGGTAAAGCTTTTGTACTGGGGATAACAAGAAGACTCCTTACTTTGGTGCTGCCCTTCGATCTCTAAATATTACTATTCTCTCTTCTGAATTTCTCACAAGCCAAAAATAAAAAATAGAAATGACTCTTTAGAGTACTCCTAAGATCTAGAGAAACTATTGAAAAGTACAAAGATACAGAGAGTAAACTCTATTCAAAAAACTATTCAAATGAAAATTTAGAGAATGAATTTTAAAATCGGAGATACTCTTGAAAAAGGATAGGATATGTTTTCATCGATCCTGTCCGTTTCTATACGTTTTTATATATAAATATGGAACGGGGCAAGAGGAAGGTGAAATATTTTGGTTTGTTTTTGTCAGGTCACTTTTTTTTAGCGATAGATGGTTGTAGCTTAAGTTTTTTTATTGTTCATTTATAAACTCCTATACATGTCATTTTATCTTCTCATAGCTATTTTGATACTATTTTGTAGTTGTTGTAAGGTTGAGATGGCGACTAGAGGGGGTTAATAGTCGTTTCTAAAACTTAATCGTGTCGGCTAACTAAAACACATGCGGAAATTAAAACTATCGGTTTAGCCAAGACTACACCCCTTTATTTATGTTCCCTAGCACCTTGCAAGGATCCTAATTGAGCAACAAAGGTGTCGGGCTAACTAGAGCTCACCTAACCAATTCTAGGAGCAAGGCCACACAAACCTATGCCACTAGTATTTCAATCAATGAGGGAGCTCCTATACATGCTAGTAAGTAAAAGCACAAAGCCAACTAAGCTCACTAGCAATGCTCAATAACAAGGCAACCAATGCCAAATTAGAGAGCGTAAATACTTAGCTACACAAACTAAGCAAAGTAACTAACAAGGTTACACAAATCAAATTAGCTACGCAAGAAAGCTACTTCTATGCTACACAAGCAAGAAGGTAACTAGCGAGCTACACAAGCTAACTAATTACAAGAGTAACTACACAAGCACAATGTATATAAAAGTAATCACAAGCTTGTGTAAGAGGATTGCAAACCAACGGGAAGAACAAGGTTGACACGGTGATTTTCTCCCGAGGTTCACGTGCTTGCCAACACGCTACGACCCCGTTGTGTCGACCGCTCACTTGGTGGTTCGGCGGCTGATTGGCATCACCCGCCAAGCCCGCACGTCGGGCACCGCAAAAACCTACCCCGAAAGTGAGGGTAGCTCAATGACACGCTCAACTAGAGTTGCTATTTGCGGCTCCCGCGGGGTGAGCACAATGCCCCTCACAAAGCTCTTCTCTAGAGCACCGCACAAGCTTCTTGTGGGCTTCGACGGAGACCACCACCAAGCCGTCTAGGAGGTGGCAACCTCCAAGAGTAACAAACACCACCGGCTTGCAACTCGATCACCTAGTGCCACTCGATGCAACCTCACGATGTAATCGCACTAGAATCACTCTCTCACATAATCGGATGATCACTATCAAGCATATGTGAGATGGAGGGCTCCCAAGCACTCTCAAGCATGGACACAAAGTCCCCGAGGTGCTCAGCCCTAACCATGGCCGAGACCCCTTATATTTATAGCCCCACAGGCTAAACTAGCCGTTACCCCTTCACTGGGCAAAACTCGGGACGATCGGATGCTCCGGTTAGATCGACCGGACGCTGAACCCTAGCGCCCGACCATGCGATGCACGCCACGTGTCCCCTGCTTCAAACGTTGATCGCCCGATCTCAACGGTCAAGTTATGACCGGACGCAGCTGCTCAAAGAGACCGGACGCAGCAACCCCAGCGTCCGATCGTTTCTAGTAAGGTGCCAGTCGTGGTCGGACGCGTCCGGTCGATCACGATCGGACGCAGCATCAGCGTCCGGTCCTTCTCCAACTTTTCTACGTCGCCTATGTCACCATACGCCAGCCTGACCGGAAGCACCCTGCCATCGTCCGGTCACTTTCAACGCCAGCGTCCCGGTCAAGATCGATGCCTGCACGCTCTCTGCTGCCACTGACCGGACACAGGACCCCAGCGTCCGGTCACCACGTGACCAGCGTCCGGTCCACTCTGTGAGACCCTGTCTTTTCTATATAGGGTGCCGGTGGAGTTTCTAACCCTTCTCGCCTCCGTTTCATCGCCAAGTTGATCCACATCAACTCCAACTTCATCTCCTTTATAAATGTGCCAACACCACCAAGTGTACACCACAATGTGTATGTGTGTTAGCATTTTCACAATCGTTTTCCAAAGGATTAGCCACTCAACTTGTCACGCCACTCGATCCTAGCGATGATGCAAAGTTAGATCACTCGAGTGGCACTAGATGACCGATATGCAAATAAGTTTGCCCCTCTTGATAGTACGGCCATCTATCCTAAATCTGGTCATCAACTTCTCTACACACCTATGACCGGTGAAATGAAATACCCTAGGTTATACCTTTGCCTTGCGTATTCCATTCCATCTCCTCCAATGTCGATGCAACACATGCACCAACATGATCAACAATGATATGATCCACTTCATATCATCATGTGATCATATTGGTTCATCGATCTTAACTTCACTTGCTTTTCACCGTTGCCTTCGTCCATCGGCGCCAAGTCTTGCTCAAGCTTCACCGCCACGCGGTCCATCGCTCCAAAGCCTCCGACTTGCCCTTCATGCTTGCAACCGGTCCATCAAGCCAAGTCTTGTCTTGATCTTCTCCACCTTGATCACATGACTCAATGTCATGTCTTATGTGCAATAAACTCCTTCATCATCACATGTGTGAGCTTTGCAACATCTTCAAGCCATTTTCACCTTCATGGCATATGTTGCTCACACATATGTACATGTGGACTAATCACCTGTGTATCTCACATAAACACAATTAGTCCACCTAGGTTGTCACTCATTTACCAAAACCACACAAGGACCTTTCAGTTATGCGTGACATTAAGGAGGCATTGCAGCATGCAGGCCCACCTGTCAGCACGTGAACTCAACATTTTGGTGGGGTGTATGGAGTCCGAGCAGGACGAGGAGCCAGCTAGACCTGGACATTTACTGGTTTTTAGTTATAGAGATTGTTTGTTTCTGAACTCCCACACATGCCATTTTATCTTCATTCTTGGCTATTTTGATACTAGTTTGGAGTCGTGTGTGAGATTGTGGAGGTGTTGCGGCATGCGGGCCCACCTATCGGCACGTGAAGTCATGAACCCAATGTTTTTATCGAGGGTGTAGGGAGTCTGGGTAGGATGAGCAGCCGAGTAGACCTAGACATTTATCGCTTTTAGTGTTACACATAGAGATAGAGAAGACATAGAGAAGACATAGAGATATGCCTCCTTGGCTCCTTCCCTACTGACCCTCTAGCTAGGGTTTTGGAGCCGCCGTCCGCCTATTGCCCTCTATCCCCATCTCCAACCCTGACTCACCCCTGTAGCTAGGGTTTTCGAGCTATCAGCCCCCTCTTGTCCTCCAACCCCACCTCTACCACCCCTACTCTCTCGCACCCACGACCGACCGACGATGATGTTGCAGCGGGCGCCGTGGGAGTGGACAACCGACGTAATTTTCGAGATCTCTTCTTTCTA